ATTGTCATCTACTCTACGGCTGATACCATTCAAATAAATTATTTGAACTGTAAGTGTGGTTTACCCTGGATACCTGACAGGCCATTATAATTTATTTTTACACAATAAGACCTTGAATAGTTTAAGGGTGGGGACTGGATCTCATTTATCTACATACTCAAAATGTAGCACAGTGAGGTCAGAGATTAGTTCCATCTCTACTTTGTATTATGTTGAGTAAAGTATCCACTGTCTTATAAGAAATGTGAAGATATTTTGAATCAATACATCCAGTATTTTCCTTCCTCCCTGGAGTACTATACTTTCCATAGAGATCTTTAAGAACTCCTAAAGGAAGAAATGTGTGTTTTTTTTGTTTTTATGGGCATTTGATGGGATCTATTATTCCATTTAATTGTATGTGCAAGAGGAAGAATCATCGAATAAAAGAGTAGGTTTTGATACATTCTATAAATAAAACAGGGATAAAAAATTGAGGGTAGACCATCCTCAACTGTACGTCTAAACAGGATGCCAGAAGATGATAGTCTGTTTTTTCAAGGACAATCATCATATGGGAGGAAATTGGGAAAAGCACAAAAAAAATCTCACTTTTTAACAAAGAACACAACTCTGTTCGGTTTTCATACATCTGTTCTCTACACTCATCTTTGAAAGTGACTCTGGAATATACCCTCTTTGTTGTTGCCATTGAGTCCACCCCAACTCATTACATCTTTAGCAGACCAAAACATTGCCTGGTCGTGCATCATCCTCACAATCTTTGGTATGTTTGGAGCTCAATGTTGCAGCCACTGTGTGAATCCATCTCATGGAGATTTTCTATCATTTTCTCTGATACCCTCTATCCACTACCCACTAAGAAATGATTCAGTTTATTATTAAATTTTTGCTACTGTCCAAGCATTCTAAAGTGTCTCAACACCCAGCCTCTCTTTCTCAAATACACCTCTACACACTTGCCGTTTTGTCATTTGTTATCTAAAAATTACTCTGTACCATTTATCTACACATAGGTAAATAGCATCCTTTCCTACATATTCAATTTATTGGATTTATATTGTTTTCCTTATATCAGTTATGGATATACCTATCTCCATTTTCTCATCAAGGAGATCACTTTGCCAGGAGGGCCACGCTGCGAGGATTTAAAAGGTGCAACAGTCTATGGAAGGGTTCTGCTGGTGCAATGGAAACCAGGGTACTGCCTTCTACTGCATGGCCAGGAGCAGGATGGATGGAGTCTGCGTAAGTATCCAATGCAGAGGTAGATCTGCCCATCTTCCAGTCTTTCCCTTGGTGATTTTTTTTGAGAAGATGGGATGTGATGGGCTGAAAAGATGGGGTATGACTATCATGGGCTTAGAGTCTAGCACCCTAATAGAAGGCAAGGCCTGTGTGGTGGGCAATATCTAAGACCATCCCAATGACCCATGCTTCCTGATGTTTATTCCTCCTCCTGGAATAATTTCCTCCCCATATTGTGGTCCAGACCTAGTGACACACTTAAAAGAATAGACTATGGCAAAAGAAATTGGGTGTAACTTCCAAGATTACGGTGCAAAAAGAATCTGGCTTTCATCTTTCTAGCATTCTGTTGATCTCTTGCTGACACACCACACTTGGATGAAAGCCAATTGCCTTGTTGAGAACTGCTCCATGCAGAGGTCCGCTTGGCAAGGAACTTAGGAAGACTTCTGGTCAATAGCTTGTGAGGAACTGAATCCTGCCACGGGCATGTGAATTACCTTGGAAGTGAATCCTCTCCCTGTCAAGCCTTGAGATGACCGAAGTCCCCTGGGCAACACCTTGATTGCAGTCTAGTAGAGCCCTGCAGAATTCAAAGTGTAAAGTAACCAAACAAGTATGCAAAAAACTTGTTTTCTAATAAAACAACATACATCAACTAAAGAGAAAAATTAAAACTAGTACTGTCATTCAAATTCACAAAAAAAAACACATAAATTTTCAATGCGTAAAACCCCAAACCCCAAGAAAAGTCTATAGGAAGGAAAGTAGTATATTCTCCTTAGAGACACAAATCTTAAAAAAGATATGGAAATAGTATCAGATTCTTGGTATACAGACTGTAATTCTCCCCAAATTACCTGATCAATTCATTGCATTTGCTGATATCTAAGTGACTCATGGATTCTTTCAATTAGAAAAATTGTCTGAATTTCATATTACGTTCCCTGCTATTTACAAGTCAGAGGTGAGAACACATGTGTTTTCCCTCCTGAGATTAGAAATGTCCAGTCCATTCCAGGACATTCATTTTTCTCCTCCCTCACCTGTTAATTTAACAAGCCTCAGAGACTAGGTTAACATAGATCAATTAGGCTAATTATGAGCTCTGTGAGTTGCTTTCTCAGTCATATAATTGTAAATTATTAGCCTGTGTCTCCAGCCCTTCAGTGTCCCAGTCCAGTTCCAGCACAGCAGGCTACGTATGTGTGTCTTCCTCCCATAGTCATCATTCACCTCAGGACACCCATGCCTAAGTCTGTCTTCCTGTCAGTCCTGAAGAAAGAGCCTCAGCTCTCATCTCTCGCCAGGCAGGAGAGGGGCAGTGGATCCACACTGTTTGACCATGACCCATCAGAGACACCATGCAACCCGGTGAGTGCTGAGAGAGACAGGAAGGCAGGAAGGACTGTCAAGAGCATTGTTTCCTCATCATCAGGACCAACAGCACAGTTGGGATAGCAAGAAGGGAATCAAAAATGGAAAGTTTCAACTAAGAGATTTTTGAAGTTTATGTCCTTTGTACTGGTGGAGATCTGAGGATTCATATTCAGAATTCTGCTCTCCTCCGCCACTATTTCTAGCTTCCATAGGCATTGCTCTCACTAGAAGAGGAAATGAATCCCTCCAAACTGTCAGTGGTTACGAGCTCGGCAGCTAACCAAAAGGTCAGCAGTTTGAATCCACCAGCTGCTCCTTGGAAACCCTATGGGGCAGTTTTATTCTGTCATATAGGGTCACTATGAGTCAGAATCGACTTGACTGTAATGGGTTTTTTTAATTTTTTGTTTTAAACTGTCCCCTAAGCACTTCTAAATTATCATGAAATTGAGGATGATGACAATGATGATGATGATGACAGTAACTATAATATCACCAAACTATATTGAGGGTTTCCTGGTGCCAGGCTCTGAGTTGTGTGTTTTGTAGCTTTTAAAATTTCATCTGTACAATTTACCTCCAAGATATAGGTGCACAGATTATTATTATTTTATATGTGAGAAGTGGAGCACAGTAATTTTATGTATTTTAATCAAGTTTTGGTGTAGAATGAAGTGAACCCAGATTTGAATCTGGGCAGTGAGGCTCCATTCACAGGGCACCTAGCCAATATTCTAACCTGTTAACACAATTTGCTATATCTCTACATGGGTCACCCAGGTGGAGTGCTTGCAGGGAAATGATACAGGCTTATTGTTTCTACTTCCCTAGAGCCTGCAAAAGCCCCCAAAGAGATGGATTGACATGGTGGTTGCAACAATAGGCTCAAACATAGCAAAGATTGTGAGGATGGTGCAGGACAGCACTTTGTTCTGTTGTATATAAGGTCACCACGAGTTGGGACCGACGTGATGGCATCTAACAACAACAACAACACAGCCTATACCACACTTGGCACAAGGCAGGCAACCAAAACAAAAAATTTTTGTTAAATACTGATTATCCATTTTTAGTTCACAGGAGCAAAGTATAGTCAATCTGTTGTCCACATACTGGGTGACTGTTTGCCTGTGCTTTCCTCCCTTCCAGGGATGTCCAGTAGGACTAGAGAGATGAATGAGACTCAGCACTCTACAGAGTTGGGACGGACTCTTGCCCACCCAGAATTTGGCTCAAATGTTGAGGCTGATGAGGCCACACACACACACACACACACACACACAC